GCAGGAAGGATGACAAAGCTCATGGGTTGAGATAAAGACAGGGGAATTGCTTATGAGTTACCATTGTGGGCAAAACAGACTCACCTTGGGGACAATTCCTTTAATTCATTGCCAATTAAAATTGATTTGGATAGGGACAAAAAGACAAACATTAAAAAAACACCGTTCCTTCCCTCTTTCCTGGGGTTAACTTCATTCCTTCACTTCAGACTCATCTACCTGCTCCACAAGTGGTGCAGAGGGGGAAAAAGGATGGGGAGTTATGGTCACTACATATCAGTTTGTCTCAGCTGCTCCTTCTCCTTAGAGAACTGGAGGAATTCCAGTCATAATCATATCCTGAGCTTCATAAAAAGAAGCGTGACCAGCAGGTTGAGGGAGGTGATTCTTTCCCTCTACTCAAAGCTCATGGAGTACTGCTTCCAGCTCTGGGGCCTCCAGCACAACAAAGGCATGGACCTGTTAGAGTGGGCCCAGAGGAGGGCCACAAAAATGATCGGAGAGCTGGAACAACTCTCCTCTGAAGGAAGGCTGAGAGAGTTAGGGTTATTCAACCTGGAAAAGAGAAAGCTTTGAAGAGACCTTATTATGGCCTTTCAATACTTAAAGGGGGCTTATAAAAAAGATGGAAAGAGACTTTTTACCAAGGCCTGTAGTGACAGAACAACGGATAATGGTTTTAAACTGAAATAAGGTAGATTTAGATTAGATATAAGGAAGAAATATTTTAAGATGAGGGTGGTGAGACAGTGGAGGAGGTTGCCCAGCAAAGTTGTGGATGTCCCATCCCTGGAAGTGTTCAAGATCAGGCTGGATGGGGCTTTGAACAACCTAATCTACTGGAAGATGTCCCTGCCATGGTGGGGAGGTTCAACTAGACGATCTTTAAAGGTCTCTTCCAACCCAAACCATTCTGTGATTCTATGATGTATGATTCTATGATTCTATGCTATGATAATACTAATAAAACAAATTAAAGACCATGTGCAGATACTGGTCAAGGTACAACACTGAGCTGTATTAGGAAAGCTTGGATGCATTCATTAAGCCTAATGTATTTATGGAATTCATGTGAAGACAAGTCTGCAAAAGCTTAACATTTGACAAAACGATAATTTGACAGTAACTATAAAATAAACCTTACACTACTTATAATACTTAATTACTTATTAACATTTCCTCATATTTGCTTAATTCAATTTATTGCATTATGAGAGCAATGACTAAATCTTCATATTTATGTGAATCACAGAATCAAAGAATCACAGAATGGTTGAGATTGGAAGGTAATCTGGTCAAGCAGAGCCACCATGAGCCAGTTGTCCAGGACCATATCCAGATGGCTTTTGACTCTCTCCAAGGATGGAGACTCTACCACGTCTCTGGGTAACCTGTGCCAGTGCTCAGTCAGCCTCACAGGAAAAAAGTGTTTCCTGTTGTTCAGACAGACCTCCTGTGTTTCAGTTTGTGCCTGTTGCCTTTTGTCCTGTCACTCAGCACAACCAAAGAGTCTGGCTCCATCTTCTGTGCATCCTGCCTTCAGATTTTACACAAGTTGATAAGATCCCCCCGAGCCTTCTCTTCGCTAGTTTGGACAGTCCCAGCTCTTTCAGGCTTTCCTCAGAGGAGAGATGCTTTAGTCCCTTCATCATCTTAATGACCCTTTGCAGGACTCTATCCAGTAAGTCCATGTCTCTCTAGTACTGAGGAGCTCAGAACTAGACCCAGCACTCCAGATGCTGCCTCACTAGTGTTGAGGGGAAGGATCATCTCCTTCCTAAGGCAGCCTGGAATTCCATTAACCTTCTTTACAGCAAGGACACATTGTTGATTATATTCCAGGGGAGGTTTAGATCGGATATTAGAAAAAAAATTCACTGAAAGGGCTATCAGTTACTGGAACAGGTTGCCCAGGGAAATGGTTGAGTCACCATCCCTGGAGATATTTAAAAGACACGTAGATGTGGTGCTTAGGGACATGGTTTAGTGGTTGGACTGGCAGTGTGAGGTTAATGGGTGGACTTGATCTTAAAGGTCTTTTCCAACAAAAAGGATTCTATGATTCTATAACTTCTTATAACACCAGGACCCCCAGCTGGATGGCCCCCAGCATGATACTTAGAAACTAATAACTATAATCTAATAGTTATAGACTATAGGACTCATTAAAATAAACACAATTTGCCAATTAAAAATGAGTCTGAGTATTACTGATGTTTGGAATAATACCTAAATGCCTGTGTTTTAATGAAGTCTTAATCACTTTTTATGTATAAAATTTTCAAATACTGAAGAGAAAAATTCAGTAGGTTGGAACTTGAACTTGTAGGGGTGAAAAGGTATTCTCTTACTAACCTCATCTTTATTTATATTAAACAGGAAACAAATGAAGGAGAAGAGAAAAAAGGAAAGAAAGGGGCTTTTTTACTTTGTCTGTGTTGCGGGTTTTTTTCTTTTTTCTTTTTTTTTTTTTTCCCCCCCCTGAAAACAGAAGGTTAAAACAAAAAGATAAAGAAAGAAAAAACAGTGGCATTTCAAACACCGCTAATTACCACTGAGTGCTGCTGTACTATTAAACTTAATGTCTTCATGTAAGGGAAGAAGAAAAGACATTGCAAAACTTCAGTTTTCTGCTGGAAATATGGATCCTGTGCCTACTGCCATTTTCATATAGTTATGGTGATATCTACACTGACAGAAGATTAGTCTATGCTGAAGAATTCTGCAAAAGAACAATTGTTAGATCAGGATACTGTGATAATGTCCCTAAGTGAAAAAATATAATGAATGTGTGAAAAATATTATGTCCTATCATCCATTTTATCATTTAGGATAGCAGACAACAGATACTATGGAGTCCATCAACCTCAATGAATTAGATAAAGTAACTTTTCAAACATTCTTGGAAAACAAGAAGTTATTTTAAAACTGAATCTGAAGTCTTCCATTACTGCTTCCAATTCTGACAGTGCATAAAAAGTGTAAAAATTCTTTATTTTTAATCTTATTCTTAAATGTGATTTCCAGAAATATTCTCTGCTGCATATCTTCTGAAAGAGTTAGCATAGAAATAGTATTTCTCATTAAAAGTTCATCTAACTTATATTAATAAATATATATTAATTTATACTTAGTTAAGAATACAACATTATTTTATCATCTGTTCAGTCCTTGATGCATAGACATTACATAGAAAGAGAAGATTAAAATACTGTATTTTTAGAAGATGGATGGCAGAGTTGTTTATTACTCCATTGTTATATCTTCAATCAGAAGTATTTGTTTATTTTTATATTTAACTCAGCTATCTATTCTCTATTTTCAGGCTCAACAGTTGTTTAACTAGAATTGTTTTCTCACAATTTTCTTTTAAATATATACTCTAAAACTTTATCAGTTTGGATTTAGGTTTTCAAGCAAAACATGAACTGCTTGCAAGCTCTTTTATATCAAATTTCTGCAGAGCAATATGAAAGCATATTTCTGGCATAGAATTTCTTTTTCATTAAAGAATAAAATGTCATTACTAAATGTCATTCAATGGTGTCATAACTGCCAATGGTATCAATACCTACCTTCACACACAGGCTGTATACCTGACCAGGAACCATTAAGCAGGCATGTTCGTTCTGCAGATCCTCTCAGCTGATAACCCATTTCACATGAGAAACGTAGCAGACTTTTTATTTTGAACTCATCCCCTAGTCTAGACCCATGAGCTGGTACTCCTGGATCATCGCAATAGCCAGGATTATTTCCTGTAAATCACAACAGAGCAGAATTATTGGCAGAGATCTTATGTGCAAATGTAGTGGTAGTGAAGATTACTCTCTTGCAAATAGTACTACTAACTGCATTGTTTCTATTACAATTAATCACTTTTCTTCCAATGCAAGGACGTGAAACTAAAGCCAAAGATGAAAATAACATGTCTTTTTAGCCTACTTCTTATCTCAGACCTATACAGACCTAAACATAGAATGTGATATAAATAAAAGATAAAAGATAATTGTCAACACAGGAAGCATCCCTGTAATTTTTTGTCAATTCAAAAAATTTGTTGTCTTTTTGATATAAATAATGTTTTCTACATGATGTATTTTATTGTTCAACTTCTCTGCTAATAATAATTTCTAATAACAAAAATTAGGTAACAGCAAGAGTGAAGAGAACCATATTTAAGTTTCTTAAGAAATATATTTGAAATATATATATACACAGAAAAGACTAAATGGTACTTGGGCCTCTGTGTCTGTCAAGAATGGAAAGGACACCTCATCATTTTCCTTATCCTTTAAATTCCTACACAAGTATTGGTTAAAATTTTAGAAGAGAAAGAAGGTGCTGCAAACCAGACCTTTCAAACTTGTCCTCATAGTCTGATGAATCAGTCAATTGCCTTATCATATAAAGCAGCTGCTACAGAAAATGCTATCCAAGATGGTCAAGGAAGTATGGTCCCAGTATCAACAATTTATCATAAATTTTGACATAAAATTTTATCTCTCCTAAATCCCTCTGTGTCTAAATTGTGATTCATTGCAACACTATCATTTGTTCTATATTTTCAAGTTATACGTCTAGATTGAATTTCTATTAAAACTATGGTTTGTTGTTTTTTTTCCAAAATATGTGTAAATAATTTCATAGGTTGAAGACTGTATCTTCTTACATAGTTTTTTATCATAGGCACACCTCTCCGATGAAGGACAAAATCTTGAACAAAGGAATAACAATAGTAAAACATTGATAAAACTCAAACTTTTATTTTAGAAATGTCAGAAAGTATGATTATGTGTGTGGCATAAGATTTTCAGTATAGCAAGTTTGAGACAGAGACTTTGGCTGGATACAATCATGCTTCCTCATAAAAGGAGACCAGGAGACATTCCTGAATTCAAGGCTAACTTGTGGGCTTTGATTGTGTTCACTTTGCTTAATATTCTTCTAGAATAGATTGTCCTTGTCACCCTGCCCTACAGCATTTGGACCTGGATTTTCTTTTTTAGATACATGCTTGTAAACAGTGTGAGTGTCTTGAAGCCAGCTGGTATATTCTGTCCACATCTATACTGTTAAGCTCACTCTACAAAACAAGGTGGCTGCATCCAAAGTGGCTGTTGAGAATGACCTCCAGCACACCACCAACTTGCAAAGTATTTGTGCATTGTTTGATGGAGTCCTAGTTGGGATGGGTGAAAACTATTCTGGGGACAATTCTAAAAGCACAATGATCTAGGTCATCAAGTACTAGCATCTATGACCTATGCCCTGGCACTGTTCAATCAGCAGTCCAGATGTGGTCTCTGGATGCCATCTGCTTCTCCTTACTCCAAGACATTACTATTTCACAGGCATTTTTATCTGCTTAAAATGTGTGAAATAAGATGAGGGCTGTGACTCAAGCTACCACTGTGGCAAATTTACAGATTAAAACAGACATGTGCACATACTTTGGCTTGCGAATGCAAAGACTGCAGGAATTGTTCAGGGCAGAAAGATCTGATTATAAAATTCTGATGATGTCCCACGTTGCTTTGGGACTTTGCTGAGGGAATTACTCCAGATGAATGACTAGATTTTTTTTTAATTGGACACACCCAGTTTTGTCTTGGAGAAGGTTTAAACTGGAATCATGCAAGTTTGTAATCAAAAGGTATAGATAAAGGCAGTTACAGTAACAGGAAGGTCTAGAGTCTTCTTTATTTAGTAATGTAGATGACTACATATCCGTTACTGAAAAATGACTGTGAGTCATCTTAAACAAAAATCTCAACTATCACTTAACTCATAAGATACAAATGTCCATCACTGCAACAGGGCCCAGGTGACCACAAACCCTGAGATTATATTTATACCATCATGTACTCAAACATATATTAATATATAATAAAGAAATAAAGCCCATACAGAAACAGACTACAGGTTTCAAATGTTATATTGGGACTGTTTTTCATATCCCTTAAGTGTAAAAACAATTAGCTGTCTCAGTTGTCCAGGGCATAATCATTCTTTCACTGACATCATGAATATAAATTATTCATATTGGTTTTTTTTAATGGAGTAATCTCCTGAATACTTAACATGGAAAATGAAGTTATTTTTTATAATTCCAAATGCCTTAAATGAATGATACACCTTTTTAGGTTTTTTGGCTGTTTGGGAGTTTTTATTTGATTATTTTAATTGAGTTAACAGAGATAGATTTCTCACTTTCCTAGGGAATCACCCTGCTCTCAAGATGGTGTCACATCATGTTCAAACTTAGAAAATTAAATTTTGCATCAATAACAATGTTTTAGTTACACTAGGAATATTTTCCCCATCATAGGAGATGACTACAGTGGTCTTTAATGTTTTAAAAATCTATGAGTCTACAGAAATACTATCATATTCATGACTGATATCTAAAGAGTCTCAGTTATTAGTGATTAAAATTTCTTTCCACTAGCATGAGAATTTCCCTTGTGGTAGGAAATATTGTGTAGTAGCACTAGAGGATCTGACCTTAAAAATTTTAAAGTCTTGGTGCAATATCAGATCTGGCATTTTGTACTGGATAAAAAGGTGAAAGTGGCACAAATGTGGGTTTAAGATAAGCAAGAAAAGGCCAATTTTATGTGGAAACTATCCATATGATTGTCCTGCAGAGATTCCTTTCAGGTCTAGGCACAGAGACCATGATGGCAGTGAGATCTGGTGATGTGAGAAGACTCTAAACTCTTTCCTCCTTTAGCAGCAGAGAACAGAAAAGAAACATTAGTGATTTAAATTCACTTCCTTTCCTCAGCATTCTTGCAGAATCAGCTTATGAATGGATCATTTTCAATGAGTACTTATTAAGAGTTTTTCAAAGTACAGAATTTAAATACCTTACATCTATTTAAATTAGGTCAAATCTGAATTGAACCCCATTGAATCAGATCAGTGCAACAGTGGGCATGTCCAAGAGCTTAGGGCAAGTTGCAAGAAGATTCTATAATGTGAAATTATGCAACAATTCTTGCATTAAATTTTCTTCTGAAACCTGTCAGGTATTTGTTTTCTTGTATACTGAAGCGTGTAGACTTGTTTCCATTACAAAACCTATAAATACACTGTGGATGTCCTTAGCAGCCAATCCTCATCTGAGCTCTTGACTTCAACAAAACTGTGTAATGTTTTATGGCTTCTTTTAAATTTCCATAGTTAGTCCAGGGGAGAATAAACTGTTTCTGTACTTCCTGACATCACCAACAACATTGCAGAGGTTTATTGTATTTGCACATTGTGGCACTAATAAAGAATATTTCTGTAAGTGGAAAGAGGAACATCATGTATGAAGTTTACCATCTCATAACTTTACTGTGATGTTTTTTATTCAACATTTTTGTATGTGACAACCATTGTTTACACAAAACAGTGTTCATAAAACTAAAATTTAATACATGCATCCTTTTTAAGCAGAACTCTACCAGGTTAGTGTTTTGTGGCTTTTATATATTGCAGTATACAATTATAGCATCTAGCTAAGGAGCAAATTTATGAAATAATGACAAAGAGAATGAGACAATATATGAGAACAGTTCAATAAATGGCTATAATTCAGCTGAGTGGCTATTGGCGAAATTAAAATATATTTGGAAAAGAAACCAAACAAATATCTCACTGTGGTTAAAAATTGCTTGAGAATAGCCTTATTCATGTAATTACAAGGTGAACATTCAGATGATGGTTGGTACATATACCTGAACAGTGAGGGAGTGTCCCGCTCCAGTGGCTATCTTCTTGGCACTCCCTAGTAGAATTTCCTATGAGGCTTCGACCCGCTGTGCAAGAATAGTGAATTATGGAGCCATATGTAAATTTGTCTCCTGAAAGAACTGCATTGGCAGGTACCCCAGGATGTCCACAAGAAATGGCTAAGAGAGGAAAGAGCACAATATTATATGATGTTTTCATAGCACAGAAAGAAACCTTATTTTAACCTTTACATATGAGGCTTATTCCACAGAAAATAAACTTCTGTCTGGATTTCATCTCCTCCGTATCTTCAGTTTTGCTGTGGCTACAGATGATTTACTGATCATCTGTAAGATTAAACATAAAACTACATGTAAAACTAACCCATCCAGTTTAGCCTTTCCCTGAAAATATGCAGAGGTCTCTTTCCTCATTCATTTCCATTCACTGTCCTTCCATACAAATAGTACACATTATTTCTGAAAAGGTTGGGAAAGAAGAAACCAAATAAGACTAATGTTGCAATGTGCATTTACACTACAGATATAGTAATGGCTTTATCATATCTATAAAATAATTAGAGTTTAGGCAGTATAGAGAAACAAAAAGCCTTCATCTGTAGTATTATTATAGCATTGTGTTGCACTAAAGTGAGCAAGAGGAAAACGGATTACTGATAATTTTTGTAAATTATTAATCATATTTATGCTTAAATTAGTGTGTACATTTAGTTTGAGAAAAAATTCAGTTAAATATTTTTAGTACAGGATTACTAGTTTAGCTGCCAGCCAGGGCTAAACCACGACACATGTAAAGAAGCAGTATGTTTCTACTTTTTTACTCTTGAACTAGAATTGTTCATAGTAAACATTGTGTGCACTTTGGGTTCAAAATTTCTCTCATCTGCCTCTTCAAGTACTTTGCCCTATCACCGAAAGCAATCTTATGCTTGAATAAAGGAGATTATCACTGATAACCTTTGAAAATTAAATATTTCTCACAGTACTTGAAAAGACTCTAAGTAAGTGACTTCATC